AAATTAATAAAATATAATTATAGAAAAAAAAAAAAGAAGGGACTCTGAAACTTGCAGTAGAACAGAAAGAGGCCAAAGCACAGGGAAGAAATGGCTGAAGTAAAAGAGCTCAACAGAAGATTTCAAAGGCAGTGTGAGAAGACAGAAACAAACTGTTAGAACGAACTATGCAAAGAACTGGAGTCAGAGAATAAAAAAGAACACATTTGACATTTCCCAAGCTGAGAGAACTGAAAACACATTCAAGCCTTGAGAAATCACTGTACCAAGGAGAATTAGTTGCCACTGAAATATTCCAGGAAGTAACATACCTCAAGCATCAATGGTAACAAAGGAAGAGGTTCAAGTGGCACTGAAGGCAGTGGTGAAAAGTAAGGCCCCAAGAATTGATTAAATCAATTGATGTATTTCAATAAATAGGTATAGCCCTAGACATGCTTACTTGTCTATTCTAAGAAATTGCAACAACAGATACCTGACCAACTTACTGGAAGAGATAATTAATGTATGTATGTATGTAACCCAAAAGAATGTGGAAATTATAGAACAATATCCTTAATATCATATGCAAGTAAAATCTTGCTGAAAATTATTTAAAAACAACTGGAACAATACATTGACAGGGAATTGTCAGGAATTCAAGCTGGGTTCAGAAGAAGCCATGGCATGAGAAATATCATTGCTGATGTCCAATGGATCTTGGCTGAGAGCAGAGAATACCAGAAATGTTTTCTTCAATTGTATTGACTATGACAAGGTGTTGGACTATGAGAATTGTAACAAATTAGGGATAACCTTAAGAAGAGTAGATATCCCAGAACACTTGATTGTGTTCATTTGAAATCTGTACATAGAACAAAAAAGTAGTTAGCTGACTCCTGTGCCAGTTGGATCCAATTTAATGGTATACAACAATTAAAAAAAAAAAGAGTAGTTATCTGAACAGAAAAAAAGAACACTGTATGGTTTAAAATTAAGAAAGGTGTATGTCAGGGTTGAATCCTTTCTCCATATCTATCCAGTCTGTATGCTGAGTAAATCATTCAAGAAACTGAACCATATGTAGAAGAATGTGGCATCCGGATTTGGAGGAAGCCTTAATCAAAAACCTGTTTTATGCAGATGGTACAAGCTTACTTGCTGAAAGTGAAGAGAACTTGAAGCACCTGCTGCAGAAGATTAAAGACTAAATAAAGCCTTTGATGTGGATTACATCTCTACACAAAACAAAAATCTTCACCAACTGCAATAGACAACATCTGGACAGATGAGAAGTTGTCAATTATTTCATTTGACTTGTATCCATAGTCAACATCCATGGTAACAGCAGTCAAGAAATCCAAAGACATGTTGCATTAGTAAAATATGTCAAGGACCTCTCCAAATTCTAAAGAGTAGTGATGTCAGTTTAAAGACACAGGTGTGCCTGATCCAAGCCATGGTCCTTTTGATTATTTCCTATGCATCTTCAAGTTGGACAGTGAATCAGGAATGATGCCTTGGGATAGTGGTGTTGAAGAAGAGTACTGAATATCCCATGGACTGCCAGAAGAACAAACAAGTTTGTCTTATAGGATATGAAATGAGAGGGCTTCTCAAAGGCTAGGATGGTGGAACTTCATCTCACGTACATTGAGCATGTTTTCAGGAAGGGCCAGTTCTTGGAAAAAGGTACTAGGAAGGATGGAAAACAGAAGAGGAGGATCTTCAACAAGATGGACTGACTCAGTGACTGAAACAAGGGACTTAAGCATTTCAGAGATCATGAGGATGGAACAGGCTAGGGCAAGATTCACATCTGTTGTTCGTAGGTTTGCTGTGAGTTGTAGTCTACTCCGCTAGACCACAGCAACTACAACACTCTTACCCTGTGTTTCAGAGCCAGTCTTACAGAAGTATTCTGCACATGTATGTATGAGCCTTGAAATTGAAATCAAAGGACCAATTCCTAGTTGAGGAAGCCACTTAGAGAAGTGAATCTCCATTCCTCTGCCTCTAAATGTGATGCTGCCAATAGCAGAGAATTGGTGACTGTTTCCAGAGAACCCTTGGAATGCCAGTAGGCCATGCGTATTGGAAGAAGCCAAAGGCTTGCTTCTCTTAGAGGATGGCAGGATAGCTCAGCCTGGCCTGTTCTAGTGTTCAGTGCAGTGGATGGGATGGAGCAGGCATCTGTGTGAAGCAGGACAGTCATACTAGTAATTGTCATTGAGAGTCATGTGTGATAGCTGATTACTTTTTTTTTTTTTAGTAGTAGTATATAACAGCGATTGATATTTGTTCCCATTCTAAAGAAAGGTGACCCAACAGAGTGCGGAAATTATTGAACAATATAAGTAATATCACATGCAAGCAAGATTCTGCTGAAAATTATCCAAAAACGTTTGGAACAATATGCCAGCAGAGAACTGCCAGATGTACAGTCTGGATTTAGAAGACGTCGTGGTACTGGGGATATTATAGCTAATGTTAGGTGGATCTTGACAGAAAGCAAAGAATACCAGAAGAATGTTTATCTGTGTTTTATTGACTATGCAAAGGCTTTTGACTGTGTGGATCACAACAAGCTGTGGCTGACTCTGAGAAGAATGGGAATCCCAGAACATTTGATTGTGCTAATGTGAAACCTATATTTGGACTGAGAGGCAGTTGTCAGAACAGAGCAAGGAGACACTACATGGTTCAAAATCAAGAAGGGGGCCTGTCAGGGATGTATTCTGTCTCCATGCCTTTTCAATCTGTATGCAGAACAGATCATCCGAGACTCTGGGCTGTACGAAGAGGAATGCGGCATCAGAATTGGTGGAAAAGTCATCAACAACCTGCATTATGCAGATGACACAACCCTGCTTGCTGAAACTGAGGAGGACCTGAAGCGCTTGCTGCAGGTCAAGGACTGCAGCTTCCTATATGGATTGAAGCTCAACATCAAGAAAACAAAGATTCTCACCACTGGGCCAATTGGCAGAATCAGTATAGATGGTGAAGAGATTGAGATAGTTAACAGTTTTAGTTTGCTTGGCTCCACAATCAATACTCTTAGTAACAGCAGCCAGGAAATCAAGAGACTAATTGCATTGGGAAAATTGGCTGTGAGGGACCTCTCAAGAGTACTGAAGTGCAACGATGTCAGACTGGAGACTAAGGTGCGCCTGATTTGGTCTATAGTCTTCGGAGTTAGGTGCTATGTATCAGAGAGTTGGACAGTGAATAGGGATGATAGAAAGAGGATTGATGCCTTTGAGCTTTGGTGCTGGAGAATAGTGTTGAATATACCATGGACTGCTAGGAGAACAAACAGGTTTGTCCTGGAGAATGTGAAGCCAGAGTTTTCCTTGGAGTCAAGGATTCTGAAGCTTCGTCTGACATATTTTGGGCATGTTGCAAGGAGGGACTGGTCCTTGGAGAGGGACATCATGTTTGGCAGAGTGGAGGGGCGGTGAAGGAGAGGAAGACCTTCAATGAGATGGGTTGATTCTGTGACTGGACCAGTGGGAATAAGTGCATTTGAGATGGCTAGGTTGGCACAAGATACAATAGCATATAGAGCTCTTGTACATAGGGTCACTATGAGTCGCAAACTACTCAGTGGCACATAACAGCAACAACAACAATATAACAGCATTGTGGATTATCCTAGTCTAGCTCACCATGCATGCATTCAGAGAAGGCCAATATTGATCAGCCCTGAGGAGTAGTTCTTTGGCTAATTTTTTTTTCCTTTTTAATTTGAACTTAATTTCACATTGAATTAATTTAAGTTTAAAAGGATAAATTCAGTTACTGTAAAACTGAATTAAAATACCCATGAAAGAAATAAAAATGTAACATAAACCAGATATTTAAGAAATTATGTCAGATCCACAATAATTCGCTTCTCTATTGGATATATCTGATCAATCTAGACTTGCTTTCTACCACTCTTAGGAAACCAACCATTTGAGTGATGGGATCAACAAAGCAAAAAAGAACAAACAGATATATGTTTTAGAAACAGTGCAACTAGCACATTCCTTGGAGACAAGGATGGTGAAGATTCATTTAACACAGTTTGGGCATGTTGTTAAGAGGGATTTGTCCTTGGAAAATAAATCATGCCTGCAAAGGTGGAGGGTCAGCAAAAGAGAGGTTTCTTTGGCTATTTTAAATGTTTGTGTATCTATATTTCAAACTCTGGCTTTTCTAATTGGATTGATGGAGCGCTCAACTTCCTGTGACCTGTGACACCTGTGTTCTGAGTCTGTGAACCTGTCAGTCACTGTGGTGGTGGTGCTGTTGAATCGAGTAGGATTCAGTTTCCTATCCTGTGCCATCCTCATCGTCTCTAACACCCTTGAGCCCATTGCTGCAGTCACAGTCCATCTTGCCATCCACTGTAGGACCAGTGCAGTGGGGAACCTTCTAGCATGGGGCCTGCCTCTCAGAAGGGTGCTCAGGGACAGGGAAAGCCAGGAGCTAGGGAGTCAGAAGGGGCCTGCCTTCTTTAACTGATCAATTCCTTGTTTCCATGTCCAGGGAGACACATCAGGAGATTACCGGAAGATTCTGCTCAAGATCTGCGGTGGCAACGACTGAGCAGTGTCTGGCGGCCATTCTACCCACCTGCCAGCAACAGCAGTGCCAGGAAAAAGAATGTCTGTTTCTACCACCACCCAAAACAAAGTCCTTGAGGTGTTCCAGTGTCAACCATCCGTAGGGGCTCTCTGGCCCTCCACATGCCCCTGGTGACCCACGCCCCCTCTGAAGCACCCAGGTCACTTCAGAATTCTGTCAGGAAGCATTTTCCCTCCTCACTCCTCACAGCCTCCTGCTGCTAAAGTAGATGTTTTACTTCCTGTCTGATGTAGTCATTTCCATTTGCTTGTGGTTAAGATCCTTGGCTTCATTGTAGTCGTGTAATTTTATATTATTATTTGGAAGCCTGTTTTTTTTTTTTATACTCATTGCCAGGCAGATAAGTACAAGTCTGTTAGCTACCCACACGTTTCTGATGAGAGAGACTGAAGAGTGAAAAAGAAGACCTTTACGGTAATCTTTGCATCTGGTGAGTAAGCGTCATGAGTTTTGTTATTGCCAAACTCCCTCTTTTTCAAAGAGAAAGTAAAGCCGTAAAGTCATCTGTCTCACTTTTCATGTATAACCGCAAGAAAGCCAGTCCTCTCCCAGTGACAGGATGCCTTGTATTTTGGAATGTGCCTTAAACCTGAATGTCTGTAACCAAAAGCTTTTTCCAAATTAAAGCCAACCAGCTCTGGAACATTCTAGAATTTTTCTCCAGTGCCAGCATGTTTTCTTTTGCTTCGTAATCCTGCCCTGTGACTCAGGGGTTCCAGCCTATGAGCCAGTAAAAATGCCTGTATAACTTTTAAGTGGCAATTTGTGCTCAAGAATCCTTCACCTAAGCTTGTTTATTGAGACTTAGGTTGTAAGGAGAAGAGGAGGGAGGATTCTGAAATCTGCCCAGACGCTGTCAAGACACTGATGAGCCTCTTGGTCCAGTGTGAGTGCAGTGAAGTCTCCCGAGGGTGAGGTAGGGCTGGGGCAGTGCTTCATCCAGGTCCTAAAGAAGGGCATGGGAGTGGGGGGGTTGGAAGTCTATTAAGAGTTGGCTCTTAGTTAGGCCTTAAACCTGGGGCCATAGAGACATAAAGAATAGGGACAGCCCTAGAAGGAAAAGCATACACAACCAGTTCCTTCTCTCTAGCCTTCACTCTGAAGGCTGCTCCTCAGCTGTGGTCTCTGGCGGCCCTCTGTTGTATGAATATGTGGTTGTAGGATTTGGAGAAGGGGAGTCCATAGGGAACTGTTTCTGAAGGCCACTGTTGTGTCCAAAAGCTGGAGCTTGCCTTGCCTGGCAGACCACTTTCTGGTAATTCCATGGCCTCCCGTGTTGAAAAGTTTGAAAGCTGGAGAATCCACAGAGCAGAATGGAAGATCAAGCTTCCTGGAACCTGCAGAGTGGCTTCTCCATGGAGCAGAGACATACACTTGGGGGGCTTTCTCCCCACAGTGAGAGAAGGGACAATGTCCCAAGAATAATGTAGCATCTCTGAGCTGAGCACTAACCTGATCTTTGAGACCTGCCTTCCTGAGCTGGGGGAGCCTGGAGTGGTTACTGTGATGACTGAGCCCGATTGTCTCTCCAGCTCTACCTCAGTGCCCATGTCTGGTGTTTCTTAAACCCACTTCTTCATAAGGCCCAGCCAGCCCACCTTGGCCCCAATTACTGAGAATCCCCTCATGCAGGGTGGGCCCATTGCTCGGTAGGATTTCCCCTACCCAGTGGCATGTAGTGCTTGGCACCTAGACCCATCCTGCTCTGATGTGACTGAAAATTCTGACATTTTGCCCCATTGTCTACATTGAAAGTCTCCTGCAGGCACCATCTAGCCTACAAATACATTTTCATGGCCCCCAAAAGACCAAAAAGAAATACAGAATGTTGAATTCATTACCAAAATTTCAATTTAGCAGATTTCATATTTTTAAAAATTCTGGAATTATGGATCTTCTTGAGAAATCAGAAATCTAGAAGCATCAAGCCTGAATTCCTATATGGCAGAATTGCTAGAGTCATGTGGCTTGCCCTTTAGACAAAAGAGTTGTATTTTTCCATTTTGTCACAAGTCTCACCTCTCCCTATATTGTTATACCAAACCACATTCCTTCTTTGGCCTCTGCATGTCTGGACTTTGAGGCTCCTGTCTACACTTTAAATGACCACATCCTTATGTTTCAGTGTTGATTCTCCATGCCTCCAGTTGTCTGGTTGCCCTCTTAAGCCATGACCAAAAGACCCACCTCATGAACACTATGAACTTGAGGCTGAGTGAATGCGATTGACATCTCCCAAGGGATAAAAATATTGCCTTCCAAGACCAGTAAGAGGTTTGAAGTTACCACTACCGATTTTGCCAAGGACAAAAAAAGGAGGGAGAAACCTGCCCAGACAGGTCATCTATGTGGCAGAGAACTACTATTTTAGTCTTACTCCAAAGACCTCTGATGGCCTAGTGATAAGGAATTGTGCTGCCATCTCAAATGCACTCCGTTCAAATCCACCAGCTGCTTCATGGGAGAAATAGGCAGTCTTTAACTGAGTGATTTACTGCCTCTGAAAATACATTGGAGGGTCAGCTATGAGTTGGTTCTAAAGGAGGGGGACATAATAACTGAGATGTTAGTCAAGGCTGACCTATTCTACGTGTTTAATCTCACTTTTAAAATAGCTAGTAGAGGACAGGCATCATACTTTAGCCATTCAGCAGCTAAAGGGACACTGAAAGGAGCAAATGTTAAGGGCAGGAGTGGGACTCAAAAATTTGGGTGCAAAATTTAGCAAGGAATCTTGGAGGGCTCACTAGAGTCACAGAATGAAAAAGGAAGAATTTACTTGGCATTTCTCAAACTGAAAGAATTTAAAAACAAATTCAAGCCTCAAGTTGTAATACTGAGAAATACCCTGGGCAAAAAAGAGGATGGAAGGAATACACAGAACCACTGCACCAAGAATTGTTCAACACTGAAAAATTTCAGGAAGCACCATATGAACAGGAACAAATAGTAACAAAAGAAGAAGCTATGATGAAGACACTGGCAAAAAATAAGGCTGCAGGAGTAAATGGGACACTGATTGACATGTTTTAACTATAGAGGCAACCATGGGCATACTCACGAGTCTGTGCTAGGAAAGATCCCTATGTGTTCCCATTCTCAAGAAAAGTGATCAACAGAATATGGAATTTATCAGATAATATGAATATTCCACGCAAGCAAAATATTACTGAAGATCATCCAAAAACGTCTAAAACTGTACATTAACTAGGAACTGTCAGAAATTAAGGCTGGTTTTAGAAGAGGCGTGGTATCAAGAATATCATTGCTGGTGTCAGATAGATCCTGGCTGAAAGCAGACTATGCTGAGGCATTTGACTCCATGGACCAGAACAAACTGACTAACAATGAGAATTCCAGAACACTTAATTTTGCTGATGTGAAACCTAGACCAAGGAGCTGTTGTCCAAATGGAACAAGGAAACACTACTGTTGTTAAGTGCTGTCAAATCGTAGTGAGACAGCTTAAACTTTTACCCTACCAAAACCAGAATCTCTGCCTGTGTTCTTCTAAAGAACATAGATATCATTAGTCATTTTTCCACCTGGCTCCAAACAGTGCCTCCTCATAGCAATAGTCAATTCATCAAGTCCCCCCAGCTTTTCCAAGGACTCTTACCCTCAGTACCCACTCCTTGACTTAGTAGTGGGGTCCACTCTGAGCCTGGTTCCTTCCCAATAAAAGGAGAAGGTCTTAATGCAGAGAGAGTACTCAGCTTTGGCTCAACTTGGGTAAGTCACTGTTCATCTCTGGGCCTCTTGTCTCTTTGTAAAATAGGGGTAGACTAGATCAGAGCATCATAAACTTTAATGTGACCAACAAAAGTGCCTGAGTAGTATGTTGTTAAGTGCTATCAAGTTGGACTACAACTCATAGCAACCCTATGAGCAACAAATGTGAACCTTGCCCTATCCTGCACCATCCCAACCATTCTGATAATGCTTGAGTCCATATTACGGTCACTGTGTCAATCCATCTCATGGAGGATCTTCTCTTTCTCACACTCTTCCTCTCCTAGCATGATGTCTTTTCCAAGGATTGGTCCCAACGATAATGCCCAAAGTATATGAGACAAAGTTTCACTATCTTTCCCTCAAAGGAACACCCTGGTTGCCCTTACTCCAGGATAGACTTATTTGTTTTCTTGGAAGTCTATTGAATATTCAGTACTCTTCTCTAACACCACAATTCAAAGGCATCAGTTCTGTTATCTTTAATCATTGTCCAACTTTCAGATGCATAGGAGGTAATTGAAAAGAATGTGGCTTGGAGTAGGCACAGCTTGGTCTCTAAAATGACATCCTTACTCTAGAATTTTGGAGAGGTCTCTGACAGCAGATTTTCCCAGTGTAGCATGTCTCTTCATTTCTTGACTGTTGTCATCATGGGTGTTGATTATGGATATAAATAAAATGGAATCATTGGTAGTGTCAATCTTTTCCCATATCTCATGATGCTGCTTATTGGTCCACTGGTGAGGATTACCCATATAAGAATATAGTCTTTAATCTGCAGCAAGTGTTTCAAGTCCTCTTCACATTCAACAAAAACAAGATTGTGTCATCTGTATAACACATACTATTGATGAGTTTTCAGTCCTTATGCCACGTTGTTCATAGAGTCTAGCTTCTCAAATGATTTGCTCAGCCTACAACCTGGTGCACACCTTCCGTAAGAAAAGGATGCAGCTCTGATGAATACCTTTCCTGATTTTAAACCATGCACTATTCTGTTTGGATAACTGCTTTTTAGTGTATTTGTAGGTTTTAGATGAACACATTTAAGTATTCTGGTATTCCCATTCTTCTCAAAATTATCCGCATTTTCTTATGTCTCACACAGTCAACTACCTTTGCATAGTCCATAAAACACAACATACATTTTTTTTCTGGTATCCTCTGCTTTTAGCTAAGATTCATCTGACATCAGCAATAATATCCTTTATGCAATGGCTGAGTTG